TCTATTAAGCTTGTAAATAGAGATTCGTTAAGTAAAGAAAGATAGTTGTAAATCCAGCTATTTGTTCCCAACGGTCACAATGAAAGTGGTTGTCAATACAGTATAAAGGACTGTCCTTATGCCACCCTAGAGGGTAAAGGTCACATACACTTTATGTACCTTTTGCACAACATCACACGTTAACTATTTGAACTTTCTTCTTATCTTCAAAGCCATCAAATATTTGAATGTTGAAGCTTGTTATAGAAGAATCTTTCTTATGAGCCTTAGTACCTAAGTCTTGGAGTCTTCTGAACTTATCACATAGAACCTTGTTCTTCAGAGTCTTCAACACTTGGTTGTAAGAATTTTCTTTTCTCCAGATCATCAGAACTTGTTCAATAGAACCTCGTCTTCATAATCTTCATAACTTGTAACACAAAAGTAAAGCTTTATAAGGCCTCCAAAGCTAAACCACAAAGCCCTGATCAGAACTTCTTATACTAACATTCCCAAGACACGTTGCAGAAGATCAGTTCAGAACCTTGACTTTAACGAAACATGTAACCACATGTTTTCTTCCAGAGTGTATGTTTAGAACCTGATGACGTCACACGCCTTATACCAGAGTCAGGACATTACACCAGTAGCTACACACTAGATGAAACCATTAGTGTATACAATTGTTCTCTAAGATAACATGTGAAGTTATCATCAAAATTTCAAGGCCAGATGTAGGAAACAATTATTGTTCTTACAATCTCCCCCTTTTTGATGATGACAAAACCATGTACTTTGATAGAACAATTTATACAGGGTAATCACCATAATCGACAAATTCAGAGTTAAGTTCACAGCCCCCCCTGAATCTGTTAAATCCAAAATTCTATTTAAGCTTGTTCAAAATCTCCCCCCTGAGCCAATGACTCACAAAATAAATTTTGAGTATCAGAACATAAGAATAGATAAGTAATACTTCCCTATAGCAACTCATCAGAGTCTGACTAGAGCGCATGGTCTTCATCTCCGAACCTGGTTTATGTCAACACTTGATGTAGAATCAAAACTTGATTTGAGTCTGATTGAATAATGACACACATTATATATCAGCGCTTATGGACCATGATTCTGATATCACAGCCAAAACACTATGATTCTCAAGCATTAGAGTTTGATATGATATTTTCCACTGTATCAGATATTGAGACAGTTCACAACTTCATAATAGAGCGTATGTTTTTTGAAGCACACATATCAGAGCATAGATTCTAAATGGCATCTCTGTATGAGAGCATGCATCAGAATGTTAACTTGACTTCCTTTCAGGAGAGAAACTTTTGAGCTTTGAGTTTGAATTTCGTATTTTTAGAAAGTTAACAACTTCTAAATACTATGATATCAAGCAAGATTACCTTACTTTCAGTAAGTTTATAACTTTTGAATTGTGTTTGGTACATCTGTTTGAATATTCATATATTCACAAAGTGTACAACTTCTTAGATATGAGATCATCCATAAGGTTTTCAACATTTGCATTAGGATCTTCATCTTCAACCTGTCTTTGAATAATTGGTGAACTTGTTTAGAATTCCCAGAATGAAACATCAAACAAACAGTTAGTAGCAACAATATTATACATGTTTGTTATGTGTTATGAAAATCATATTTTACTTTCTCCCTCTTTGCCAGAAATAAAAAAGGTGATAAGGAGACAGGGAATGATCTTTGAAGAAAAACATATTCAAGTCAGATAATTATTTGGATAACAGTTAAGTTAAGTTCTATCTTTAAACATGAGATACTTAAAAGAACTTGTTTGGTAGGATTTTATGGAAATGTTGATTTATCACACATATATCTAATGCAATCATGCAACAAAATAATTTTATTGATTAACCAGGAAAAAGTATTGAAGTACCATATAGGTGATAGAGAGACGGGATAATAATTAGAGCAGATATGCAAAGAAAATTTAAATCACATAAATTAAAATGAAAGAATAGAAAGGTAATAAAGGTAGAGAAAATTTAAACAAAGAAGATAATCAACACATGAAACATAATTCATTAATTGAATGGGAAAGTACAGATAATTAGGGCAAACAAATTAAGGCAAACAGACACAAGGATACTTAAACACTAAGAAGACATCACTCAACATGAAGCAACCGGTAGAAAATCATTGAGGATAAATCAATGAAGTCACCATCGTATGTTTTTTATCCCACAAGAAGGGAAAGGTAAACATTGAGTAAACCTAAGAAGGGTAAAATCACAATCAATTGACTTAGAATTACGGGTAAGAAAGTCTATTATGCAAAGGGAAGGTATTAGCACCCCTCACGTTCGTGGTACTCCACGGGATCCACTCTCGTTATTCTAATCAAATGGTGTGTTCGAATCTAATGCTTACAACTTAAGAGCTAAAAGAAAAAAATGCAAAGAGGGAATGCATGCAAAAGAAAACACGGGTAAAAAAAGGAAATATTTACAAAGCATCGCTCGACTGAGCTCCGTGACCAGATGCCTACGTATCCCTTTTAAGGAATCAGAGCGCTGTAGTTTGGCTCAAAAGTTTCCTTTTGTTGGTTGATTTTAAATGAAGAGACAAGTCGTCATTTTTAAAGGAGAAGACTCGTCTAAACACCCACAAGGTATGATAAGGAATAAAGGATTACGCACCAACATGATGGAAGATTTGAGAATACCTCTAGTACTCAAGTGGAGAAGTCGACAACCATGGGGATAGAGGAAGAATATCTCAATTATAAATGAATCATGTCTAATCTTGAAAAAAAAAGGTTTTAAAGGATAAAAGGTGTTCGAGCGCACAAAAAGATTTGAATGTGGTTAAATGTTTTTTTTAGTCTTTTTAAAAAGTGTTTGAATATGCTTATGTGGTTTAGTATTTATTAAAGAAAAGAAGTTTTTGTTTTAATCATGCACAAAAAAAAAACATTTAAGGGAAACTATCTAATATATCCCTAATGTTATCATATAATGATGGTCCTAAGTTCGAGTTTGAAAGGGAAATCTCTATCTATGTTAGCATGTATCGATAACGATCCTAATGTCTAACTTGGATCAGAAATGAAACAAGTGAATCCCAAAGGAGGATTCAATGATTCAAAACCTAAGGGAACATGGTATATACAAGGATGAAAAGCAAACAAGCAATCAACAAGCTCAAGAGAGCACATACATGTCATGAGCAGTGCACACTAGCTCAAGTTAAAAGGCCTGGCCAAGATATCAAATCATCGAGGTAGGTAAAAAGGGGGAAATTCATGACCATAAATATCTCATCTAGGAAATAAGGGATCCTGAAAGCTACTTTTAACCAATGTATCATGTTACCAAGGCAAGAAGTATATAGTGGGGGAAGTGAATGTTCAAGATGATTAAGCACCTAACCAAGATATCAAGAATCGAGGTAAGAGATAGAAGACAATGTGAACAAGCATGGAGCATCAAAATCAATCAACGTGAGCTTAAGACAAAGTGTGGGGGATTGGTTACGGATCCCTCTTCCATCTGATCCACTCGATAACAAGAGTAAGCACAGTTCAAAGCATCAACATACAATGTGAGCTAGGAACGACATGAACTAGAATGTGTAGGGGTCGATTGATGACCTTTCTCCACTCGCCTTCTTTGAGAACTTATCAACGGAGAATGAGAATAAGACACCTTCATTGAGGTCTTTGGCACAAATATAAACATACAGACTGGTAAACAAACAAGCACAAGTAAAATTTCCTTAAACAAGTCTTTAAATAAACCAGATTTTGCCTCAAAGAGACTCTTAGAACTTGCATCTCTACTCTTATTTCTCATAGAAAGGAAATCTAAAAGATAATGCAGAATATAAACATGATAAGCACAATACTAAACGAACAAAAAGTACGTAGCAAAGCGATGTTAAAGCAAAAGAAATCCGAAGATCTTCGCGACAATTTCACCAACAAAGAAAAGAGTCAGAAACCGAATGCTCAGAATAAGTGTCGAAGCATCATTAATGTGAAAATAAATCACAATCAGAAGGTGCATCAAGCAAGCTCAAGGTGTCTGATAAAAGTTTAAAGTGTCGGATAAGAATCCCTGTCAGATAAAATACACAAACAAAACAAACAAACAAGATAACAGAGAAATAATGTGAGCATCTCCGAGTAAATTAGAAACCTGTATCAAAGCTAAAATGAAACAAATGAAATATGAAAATTGATACTTAATTAATTAACTTAAAAGTTGATTAGGTTAATTAATTAAGTTAAGAAAACTTAATTAGCTGAAACTAATTAATTTTTAATAACTAAATTAAATAACCAAATCAACTTTTAGTTAATTATCTAAAGCAACAATGTATCATGCAATGAAAATTTAATCAATTAATCAAGAGTTGATTAACTTAATTAATCGAGTTAAGAAAAATGAATTAGTGAACTAACCCATTTTTAATAACAACATTAGATAAGTAGATCAACACTAGTTTAATCACTTAAACATGGATAAAAAGTGGGAAGCGGAAGCGGCTACTTAGTCCGTCATGAGAAGCTTGCACAAACTAACAAACCAATTAATATTTAAAAGATATAAAATCGAAATGAAATCAAATGAATGCACATGAACAAATGAAGAACCAAGCAATTTATTTATTCAAGTATTTCAATTCACAAATGAAATTAAAACCAAAGAACTCATATTATTGTTCAATTCACATTCGAAACATGGAAAATCGAATTCACAATAAGTTCTAAACCCCAAAATCAACATCCCGAGCAAAAACTATGTAATCTCAAAAACGCTCCACAAAATCCATCTCAATCGCAAATAACACAAATGAAAACAATAAAGTAACACCACCTGAATTAAACTTTAGAATTCAAATCGAACACCAACCAAATATCCTTCCAAATTGATTCAAATTTAAATACCATAACTTTGGATTCAAATCAAAATTCAAACCAACAATATCTAATCATCATCAAAAGTTCCATATGGTTCTAAATCGTGGCATTGTCGTCATAATTTCAACCTACGGATCTCAAACGAATACAACGATAACACCAAACAAAACCAATACAAGTTATCACAATCAAGAAACTCACTCACAATTAAAACCCGAAACTTTCGAAGCAGTGATGATGAAGCTAACGTAAAGAGAGTCGATGATGGCAAGATGGTAGAGACTGTTGCGGTAGTTGTCGAACTGGTGAGGTGAAACGGAGCTCTGTGTTGTTCCGACAGAAGTAACGCTAACGAAGGGAGATCCAGTGGTTTGAACGCGGTGAACGACTGAGCTGAGTTACCGGAAGAAGTTGAGGCCGGTGGATGATGATGAAGGGTAGAGCTTCGAATGAGACTTGGAGGTGGTGGAACGGTATGGATATGGCGGATTGAACGGAGTATTGTTGGAAAAGAACGGTTTATGTTGTTCAAAAATGGTGATGGAGAGGATGAAGATAGGTGAATGAGAGGAAGTGGATGTGTGATGTTGTTGGAGAGGTTATACAATGAGAGAGAGGAAGCAGGGAGATCGAGGTAGGTGATACAGTGCTTTGTGATGGAAAGATGGAAGGGATGAACTGAGTGTGGAAGGCTGGATTGCTGTGAGAGTGAATCAGTGAGCAGTTATGGCGGATACCTTGTGGTGGTATTGGACATGTGAAGGAAGGTACCATGGAGGTGAGTATATCGTTTGCACAGATGAAGAGGAAATTATGTTCCTTGTTTTCAAATTTGGATCTCCTTTTCTCTATCTCCTTTCCTTGTTTATAACAATTTTTATCCCTTTAGGTATTACAAAAAGACCAAATAGACCCTGCTCAAGATACATGTTAAACATTTATAACTAAATAAAAATTGAATACTAAAACACTAGACTATATAATTAAAACGTTTTATATTTTTTTACTAAATGCTAATAATAAAACAAAACTTATAAATTATAAAAAGAAAATAAGTTTGGATAAAAATTTAAATCAAAATACAAAGCAAAAGTGAACGAGAAATACAATGATTCGAATAAAAATTGATTTTATATAAACAATGTGAATGAGAAACTCGGGATAAAAGTTGGGGTACAACAATTTCCCCTATTTAAATATCTTCAACCAGGTGATATGAAGATGATCAGGCTTCATATGATCGTAGTGGGAGATAATTAAATATTAAAGAATCCAAAATTTTGCCTTGAGAATGCAATGGGCATGAGATGAATAAAGTGTGGCGACACACACACACACACACACACACACACACACACACACACACACACACACACATATATATATATATATATATATATATATATATATATATATATATATATATATATTATTTTTTGAATGATGTATGATATGAGACAAACTCTGTGAGAATTATTGAAAAGACTCGAAACTGGAAATTTGTGGTAGTTAAATGATATGACGTGGAAAGATATGCTGGAGAAACATAAGATATTCTAGATATCCGTCAGGATGACAAGGAGTAACCAATAATACTTGCGAAGAGAGAGATAAACTCTGAAAAAGCAAGTGGAAACATCCAAGAATGGCATTGAATGAGGCGATAAACTCTCTGGAAAATACATAAAAAACATTTAAAGATACATCAGAGTCATCCAGGAATGGCACTGGACAGACAAGACCACGACATCTAATAACCTGCTTTAGATGAAGGGAGAAAGAAATACAATATGCAATAACTTGCTTTGGACGAAGGAAGACCATATCATCTAATAACCTGCTTTAGACGAAGGGAAAAAGAAGACCACAACATCCAATAATCTACTTTAGATGAAGGGAGAAAGAAATACGATATCTGATAACCTGCTTTGGACGAAAGAAGACTACATCATCTAATAATCTGCTTTAAACAAAGGGAGAAAGAAGACCACGACATCCAATAACCTGCTTTGGATGAAGGGAGAAAGAAATACGACATCCAATAACCTGCTTTGGACGAAGGAAGACGACATCATCTAATAACCTACTTTAGACAAAGGGAAAAGAAAACCACGATATCTAATAACATGCTTTGGATGAAGGGAGAAAGAAATACGACATCCAATAACCTGCTTTGGAGGAAGGAATACCAAATAATCTAATACCCTTCTTTAGATGAAGGGAAATGATTTATGGAAAATACAATCAGAAACATCTAGGAGAACATTAGATGTAGAGTGAGACAAAATTTAAAGCTACGTCAGAGTCATACAAGAATGGCACCAGATGGAAAAAGACCACATATATCTAATAACCTGCTTTAGACGAAGGGAAGAGAAACCAGGACATCTAATAACTTGCTTTGGATGAAGGACAAACAAGGTATCCAGGAATAACATTGGCGAGGACAAAGAGACAGACATCTAGGAATGGCACTGGAGTGAAAAGACATGACGTCTAGAAATGGCACTGAAGTGCAAAGAGACAGTCATCTAGGAATGGCACTAGACGGCGTGAGAAACGCTCCACTAGGGAATGTGACGTAATATTGAAACTCCAACCTAAATGCCACTAAAAAGTGGACTTTGGAGAGGATACTGCAAAAATAAATTGCAGTTCACTGAAAATAAATCATCCTGACTTCAAACAACTCCTAAATTCCTGAGGAGAAAATCCATTCTCCTCATGCAGAAAAATGAGGAATGCTTCGTTGGGGAATAAAGATCTCTAAAGAGAAACCCCTTAGCATGAAGACCTTTGAAGAGTAGCAATGGATCCTTTACTGGGGAAAGGAGCCCTTCTAGGAAACAATGTTTCCAGCATGAACCTTGTATGGGTAACAGCCTCAAATTCTCTTTGTGTTCCTGCTCGTATTCTGTTGAGGATAACGATCCAAACTTCCCGACATGCTCTTCAAATTCACAAGTTTTTTAGCTTGTGCCTGGACTTAACCTGATCAACCCTTGAAGAGGAGGAAATGCCCCTACATAATTTCTTGCCCCAGTCTGTAGGGCCTTTGAAATTTTTTTGCCTCAAGAGGACTTTCTGAGATTTGTACCGTCAAGATAACCTGCCCCAATATTATGAACTTCAAAACACTGCCCCTGACTCATCAGAGTTGGAAGCGGTTTTAACCATGCTTGAGTGAATTCCCTAGTGTCTTCATATTCTGAAATGATTCTCCTTTGATCAACGAATTCTTAGAGAGATTTGTCAAATCCCGATATAACTGCCCCAATTTGACTGCACTTTGAGGGATCGGATCCCGACTTGAATGCCCCAGATTGGATAATTTTGAGATATCTCCTCTCGACTTTGATTGCCCAAGAATGGATGCATTCGATAATGAATAGTACTGGGAAAACAAATTTGCTCATACCCAACAGAGTCTCAAACTTTTATTTTTTTAGGGGAACTGGCTTACATCCTGAAAGTAGGCTATTACACAACCGTACTTTTTGAATTTCCTCATTCTCAAGCAGATACTTGAAGGAAACTCTCCTTCAAGACCAACTGAAAATGATACGCCATTGCTCAATGGAGACTTCTGGGCAATCAAAGCTTCCATACAATCTTCTTTGGATTATTTCTTAAACTGGTCTTCTTTTACTCAACGAAGTCAATAGAAGGTCTGCCCCAGATTAAGATCATCTTCGAAAATGATTTACCCCTCAACGGTACCCCGAAGAAATTTATCTCCCGAGATAATCAAACTTTCATTTGATGCTCATTATGCAAGCTCACTTGATGTTTAAGCACTTTTTCATATGCAAAGAATGTTTATTCTAAGAATGATAATTCTACTGCAAATCATATGCTTGTCTTGAAGTGGAAAACTTTTATTGAAAAGATGTTGAAACATCAAAAAAAAATTGGTACAAAAGACAGTAAAAAGATGGAGTGACACCAACTCAAAAGTTTTAGCAAGCCTCATAAGAGTCAGATTACCGTACTCTCTGTGATATAGTGGCAGAACCGACTGTTATACTGGTTTTGCATTGCGGTAAGCAAGAGTCACCATCGACTTTTCTTTTATCTAACAAAGAAAAGGGTGAGAAGAACAGAAAAAGACCTTTCGAGAGTTTTTTGAGTAATAGGGTAGATTATGGAAAGGGAAGGCGTTAACACCCCTTCCATCCGTAGTTTCCTATGGGCTCTTAGATGCTTAGATCATTTTTGAAATACCTTGTGTGTTTGTGTGTTTTTGAAAAGTATTTTGAAATGCCATAGTGAGGCAGTTTTCTTTATGATAACTCTTGTATCAGTCCTCAAGAGTGTTGATAAAGCATTTTGAAAAGGTTTTTGAAAATTATTTTGTGTAAGTGTAAAAAGTTTATTTTTGAGCATAACATCTAGGAACTATCTACTTTACTCGAAAGGTTCGTTCTTTTTCCTCCTTTCCTTTAGACAGTGTTAGCCTACTATTAGTAAGTAGGTAGCCCTATTCATTTGGATGTTTGAGGGACATTCGAATGGACGTTTTATAATCATGAAGGCAACTTGGCAAGAAATCTTAGTAACTACCCTAAGATTTTAAGATCATTTTTATCGAGGCAACGTCGAGAGGGTCATCGAGTGACTTATGATCTTTTTAAAACCGGAGGGTAGCCACTAACATCTCTCACATTTCAAGAGTTGTGACTATTTTTATGAAGGCAACCAAAGTGGGAGTACCCTAGAGGTGCGCATGTGCAAGTGTGTTTGTTTTCAGTTTATTTTTGTCTTGTGTTAAGTTTGCTAGAATTCATTTTAGTCTTATCATACAATCCTATTATTCATACATCTAGCAGTTAATAATTTGCAGGAATTTAAAATGCGGAATTTAAAGCTACGCTATTACATGGCTTCAGGGAGGGGGATTAATTATATAGTCCAAAACTTAGGGGAGAAATAAAAAGCAGAAAATAAAGTCCTAATTTTAACTATTAAAACCCATAGTTAGATACAATAATGATAAGAATAACAAATGATAAAATAATAAACGTGCACGAATTGAAAGGACTTCTAAATCCTAAAAATGAAATCTTTTTGTTATTTTGTTTTGTTTCATGAAGAAAATTGAATTCAAATAAATCCCAATTCTATTAATTTTAAAACTAAGAAAATGGTTTAAATAAATATTAGTTAATTTACAGAATTAGTTTAATTAACAAAAAATACTAACCTAATATTTTTTTGTGATTTTATTTGTTTTTACTGATTAAACAAATTAAAAAAAAATTAAAAGAAGTAAATAATAAAGATAAAACAAAAATATAAACATACCTAATAGCAAAAGAAATAGAGGGGGTATGGAGTGAAATTCGCTGGGCCCAAGTGAGAGAAGCCCAGATCTGCCCTTAGATTCAGTGGGGAGATCCCCAGGAGAGTCTATGGTGAGGCTGTGTGCTTAGGGCGTTGGATCCGGATCAGATGTGCATCTGATGGCCTGGACTTGATGGTGTATGGTGAGCGTGCGTAGCCAGAAAGCATTGAATCTGCATAAAATGTTAGAAAAAATAAAATTGCAAAGCCTGGGTATCAAACCCAGGTCCTTTCGACTGCACACATCCTTCTTCACCATCTGAACTAGATTTAAGATTCGAAGGAATCCATTTCACATACCTTAGTAAAGGTATCCTGTTACTTTATACTTTACATGTAATACACTAACCATCATAAACGTTATGCATCATGAATATATAATCAAAATTAAATTACATATGAAATGAATTTGAGATCGAAGGTTTGTTACC